ATGTGACACTTTCTTAAATAGTTGTGCACACTGAATGCACAATAAGTCGTTACATTTGTTTTACACCTTTATTACTCATTCAAATTTCATAAAAAAAATTTGACATAAATTAATTCAGGTAAATCTGTATGTAGTTAAGTCATTTTATCTCTGTAGAAAAGAAACCCTATATCACAATATATTGTTATTGCGGTATGTTTCTAAACGGATTATTTTCCAAATAAGAGAAATCATATCCAAATTATCTGAATAAATTGTAAATGCAATTGTCTCCTCTCCCGTTATTTGCATTCTCTCAACAAGTGCAAATGCGGCAATTTGTTAAACTATTGTGTGCACTAAATGCACAGTAAGTCCTTACTTTCTTCTATACCTTTATCACTCATTCATATTTTATCCTAAATTTGGCATACATTAATTCAGATAAGTCTACAACTAATAAGTCATTTTTATCTCTATAGAAGAGGAATTCTATATCACAATACATTTTTATCCCGGTATGTTTCCAAAAGAATTATTCTCCAAATGAGAGGAACCAAAACTAAATTACCGAAAAGAATTGTACACGTAACACTCTACTCTCCAATTATTTGCAATCTATGAACAGGTGCAATGTGGCACTTTCTTAAACTGCTGTGGGCACTGAATGCACACTAATTCTTACTTTCTTTTTACATTTTTATTACTCATTCACATTTTATTAGAAATATGGAAAATATTAATTTAGGTAAGTCTGCAAATAGTCATTTTTATCTTTGTAGAAGAGAAACTCTATATCATAATATATGTTTATCGCGGTATACTTCTGAACGAATTATTCTCCAGACGAGAAAAATTAGATCTAAATTATACACACAACACACTCCTCTCTCGTTATTTGCAATCTCTCAACAGGTGCAAATATGACACTTTCTTAAACTATTGTATGCATTGAATGCACGGTAAGTCTTTAATTTCTTTCTACACCTTATTACGCATTCATATTTCATCAGAAATTTAGCATTCATTAATTCAGGTTAAGTCTACACATAATAAGTTATTTTATCTGTAGAGGAGAAACCCTATATCACAATACATGCTTATTGTGGTATGTTTCGGATTGAATTATTCTCCAAGATGAGAGGAACCAGATTTTAGTTACCCAAAAGAATTGTACACACAACATTCTCTTCTCCCATTATTTAAAATCTCTCAACATGTGCAACTATAACACTTTCTTAGACTATTGTGTGCATTAAATGCAGAATGAGTCCTTGATTTCTTTTTACACCTTTATTACTCATTCACATTTCATCAGATATTTGGCATATATTGATTCACGAGTCTACAAGTATTAAGTCATTTTTATCTCTATAGAAAAAAACTCTATCTCACAATACATGCTTATTAAGGTATGCTCCCGAATGAATTATTCTCAAGAGTAGAGGAATTGGATCTAAATTACCCAAAGAATTGTACGCACAATGCTGTCCTCTCCCATTATTTGTAATATTTTAAAAGGTGCGAATGTGACACGTTCTTAATTTGTTGTGTGCACTGAATGCACACTAGGTTTTTACTTTATTTTTGCATCTTTATTACTCCATCACAGTGAGTTATAGTGTTTTTTTTAATTAGGGTGAAAACTCAATTAGGAGTTAATTAAGGATTTTATTAAACAATGAAATAAGATAAAATTATATTATTCATTTGGAATCAATGTTTTCCTATTGTTTGGTTGTGAATTAATGTTCTCCTATTTCCACAACTTTGTCTTCAGATTATTTAAACGTTTCCATAAAAATATCAATAAATAAAAAAATTGATCTATTGAAAAAAATTCACAGACCAACCATCAGGATCATGACCATAAATAATTGTACACACTGTCTCTCTTCTGCTGTTACTTTCAACCTCTCAACAAGTGCAAATATGTCATTTTTTTAAAACTATTGTGCACATTGAATGCATAATGAATCATTCTTTTCTTTTTACACCTTTATTACTCATCAAATTCATAAAAAATTTGGCATCGATTAATTTAGGTTAATCTGTATGTAGTAAGTCGTTTTTATCTCTATAGAAAAGAAATCCTATGTCACTATACATTCTTATTGTGGCATGCATTCGAATGACTTATTATCCAGATAAGAGGAATAATATCTAAATTACCCAAAAGAATTATACACACAATTGTCTCCTCTCCTGTTATTTGTAATCTCTCAACAGGTACAAATTTAACAATTTCTTAAATTGTTGTGTGCACTAAATGCATAGTGAGTCCTTACTTTCTTTCTATACTTTTATCACTCATTCACATTTTATCAAAAATTTGGCGTACATTAATTCAAGTAAGTCTACATATAGTAAGTAGTTTTTATATCTATAAAAGAGAAACCATAAATCACAATACATGCTTATTGTGGTATACTTCAAAACGAATTATTTTTCAGATGAGGGGAACCGCATCTAAATTACCCAAAAAAATTGTAAACACAATAATCTCTTTTCTCGTTATTTACAATCTATCAACTGGTACAAATGTGACAATTTCTTAAACTGTTATGTGCACTAAATGCATAGTGAGTCCTGACTTTCTTTCTACACTTTTATCACTCATTCACATTTTATCTAAAATTTGGTATACATTAATTCAGGTAAGTCTACTAGTAGTAAGTTATTTTTATCTCTATAGAAGAGAAACTTTATATCACAATATATGTTTATTGTGGTATGCTTCCGAACGAATTATTCTCCAGATGAGAAGAACCAGATCTAAATTTAGCATGCTTATCAATAGCTTTGATACATTCTCACAAAATAGAAATCTTGTGAGATTTTTTGTTTATGGGTCATCAAGAGCTTTGAGATAATCACACTATAAAATGAGATTCTTTTTAGAAACAAAGAATCTGAAATATGGTAATTAAAAATTTGATCAATGTTTTTGTCATATTAGGTGTCCTACAGCAGGATGATTACATGAGTCTGGTCCATCTTTTCAATACTCTTATTGTTTGAGTACGACTGAATTTTCAGCCCTGACTTGGGGAGATTGAAACTGTAGAATGGGAACCTTAATTTATTTTTTGATTTTGTCGGTTGTAGATTACTCAGAGTATATTGGTGGAGAACCCATTTCCACGTAGTGAGTCTCACTTGGATTTATGGTCGGATTTAGATCCCAAAGAAAAAATCAGGGAGAGAGAGAGAGAGAGAGAGCATCAATACCAGTTGCGAGGGATATGTGCACAGAAAGGCCATAAGGTATTCAAACCTTAATGTTGTTGTGACTCGCAACTTCGGAAGTGGTCCATTAATAATAGTTGAGTAGTTTCACCTAGCACAATCAGAATGACAACTTCGGAATGCTGGGTTGAGTCATGAACTTCTTGTTCCTTTAAATGCTTTTATCTTACGTTTTTCGTCAAGGGATTATTAATTGGTTGGCTAGAATTTGTCATACTTCACAAAAGATAAAGGGAGGTGGACTGGTGGAGGCATGCATTTTGCGTTGGCAGTCACATAGTGTTTCCTTTGTGTTGGGCATTCTCCAACCATAGCATCCTTGGGACTTCAGACTTCTTACCAATATTAGGCAAATGAGAATTTTTGTATCTTTTAGGGGTGAAAATGAAATTTTCCCAGGAGATATACAAAAGAGACTTCTTCTCATGCAGTCCACTGTCCAATAGGATTGTTAAAAAGTCATAGTGTGTGAATATCGTGTTTGACTTATATAGTGTTAAAATTTATTTAATTTATACTCCATTCATCTGTTAGTTGTGTATTGTGTCACGTATAAATTTTATTTTCGTAGTATTTTAACAAGTTTTTGTCATAATTAGCTGGATCTATATCGAATTATTTATTTGATGAGCTTAACGGATCTAACCAAATATAGTTCAAACCAACTAAAATTAAATTTAAATTTAATAATTTCGTATTGATTTTGTGTAGTTTTATCGAAGATTGAAATTTAACACAACGATAGTTCTATTGTGACATGGACGTCAAAAGTTCAAGTTACAAAAATAATATCTCTACGTGGAAGGGTGCTAATCTTTCTTAGACTCTACAATAACCGGAGCCTCGGTGCCCTTTGTCAAACACTAAGGATAACTCGTGTTTGAAGGTACGGTGTAATGAATTTTAATTTAATGTTAATTTTATGAATTTTAATTTAATTTTATGAATTTTAAATTAATGTTACTTTTATGAATTTTAAATTTATAATTTTGAACTTTAAATGTGAGGTAGAAACTCTTAAAGGTTAGGTTACAACAATTAAATGTTAGATATTAAAAGTTAGGTAAAGTTACCACAACTAAAAATAAAATTACTATCTTTAAAAGTGATGTTATAACTATTTATGGTAAAATTACTACATTTAAGGTTAGGTTACGAATATTTAAAGTTAGGTTACAAGTAGTAAATGTAATAATATCACAAAAAAATGGTGGGTGAGGTTACAAGTATTTGAGGTGAGTTACAACTTTTTAAGGTAATGTTATTACATTTATAGACAAAGTTATCACTTTTAAAGAATAATATTTAATGACAAAAAATTTATAATCGCACATTTGAATAGTATTAAATGCCAAAAAATTTATGACAACACCTTTTTTTTGGTACCGTACCGCTGTTTGACTAGGTAGTACCGTAGACTCTCCCGTTAAAAACTATTCTGATAAATATAATTTTATTAAAAAGTGGATTTATTAAATCCGTTTTTAAATGAAATTGTAATTGTTATATCCGTTTTTTTAAATAAATTTTTATTTAATAATTCTGTTTTTAAATGAAATCACATTTTTAATTTCGCTTTTAAAATTACCGTAATTTAATAAATATATTCAAAAACAACCGTAAATTATATTTAAGTTTTAAAGTTGTCATAGTTTGGTAATAGATTCCCACATACAGCTTTGTGTTGTGCGTGCGTGTTTTTAGAGTGAGAGAGAGACAGAGAGAGTGTGTTCTTCTTTGTAGAGAGAGAAAGCTCGTCGTAGAGTTCGACAATGGAAGGAGAGGAAGTGAGCAACAAACAGATAATTCTGAAGGACTACGTGATTGGATTTCCCAAAGAGTCAGACATGATTCTCAAGACGAGTACTATCAAATTGAAGGTTCCAGAAGGTTCTAATGCTGTTCTGTTGAAGAATCTCTACCTTTCTTGTGATCCCTACATGCGAAATCGCATGAGGAAGATGGAAGGGAGCTACGTCGAGTCCTTCACTCCTGGTTCGGTAAGTCATAATTTCAAAATATTATTCTCATTGATTGATTTGCTGTTGTATAAATAATTCTTAATTAATCAATGGCTGTCATTGAAAGTCAAAACTGTGAATATTATTCGGGACATTAAAATGGGGATTGTATGTTATTAAAAACTATTAGGGTTAAGTGCAAATTGGTGATTAAAATGTAAAATTAGGCAAATTTATAGTGATTAAAATGTAAATTTGATTGCGATGGAGACTCATATCCTAAATTTGAGTAAAAAAAAATGGTAAAAACAGATTTATTTTTATTTAATTATTTGTTGTTGGCATGTAGAAACTATAAAATAAAGAAAGCAGCAAGAATTTATATAACAGTTCGTATGTAGGACAGGCACACGTGTTATTGCCATCATGTCTTTGACTAATTCTTGTTTCAACTTACATACACGAGATCAGAGATCAGCGACCAGCTATGAACTTTTTACAGTATTGACCAAAAATCCTTGTATACCAGAGCCTAGAAAGTAGGTAGAAGCAATTTACTCCCAATTTGACTAAACTAAATGGGTATTCCAATGTTATCATTGAATTTGGTGCAATTAGTATGAAGGGTTCTTGAAATCCTTCTTTTTTAGGATCGATTGGTTAAAATTTGCTTTGAAGCTCAATAGTCATTCAGAATAGATCCGGCCACAGAGCAAACCCTTTGGTGCTTACTTGTCTAGCTAAACTGATACTTCTAAAGTCAGTACGTCCAATGACATGAAACATGCCTTGTATAAACTATTCTTATTTTCTACTTTATAATAGTTATTTCTGATGCACTTTCCTTGATGATATCTTTTAAACTATATTAAAGGGCTTTTCCGACCCATTGACATCTCATGGAACTTCTTAACAAGACACTCATGGAGACTTCATTCAATGGTTTCCCACATATTATATAAAGATCAGATGAATCAAAATTCCATGCTTTTGCATGTTAAGTGTATTGTGTGGATAATATGAGAAATGACTAGAGATGTGTTTGCAGTGCCTTCAACTCTCCATCTTCATACAGTGTATATTTTCAGTATACCAGCTGACTTATGGGCCGAAGTTGTTCTGCATGCTTAACTAACAACCATTAATATCCTATCAATAGCATCAGTTAATTAGGTAGGACAACCATTAATAGGCCTATCTTGGTAAATGCCTCCTGAAAGATCCTTTAAGTGAGACTACGAAACTAGTTAGTTAGGTGAATCAGTGATCAAACATCTAACCCAGTTATTTATCAGAAGAAAAAATAAACAGATATTTTTATAGTCTCTGCAATTTGTGTTCCAGTATATTCTATCTTGATGATGTATTGTGTGGCACCATCACATCATTCGAAACTTATACGAAAATCCACTATGTACTCACTGCAACAAGTGTTATCATTGTAAAGGTGTAATTATGGCCTTCGTGTGCCTCTCATAAATATTCTACAAAAAGCCAAAACCATGAAGGTGGCAAGAGGGGCTCCTTTTTTGCAAATTACTGTTGTTATTATTCTGGTATAGATGATATTTTGACTGTATTCATGTGTAAAGGCAACAATCCCCACAACCGGTTAAGGTAGATATAAAACAGCTGATTGTTATGCAATCTGAGGTGACCTCAAGTTGATTCAAACACTATGCATTAAAACTATAGAAGCCATTGATTAGCAAAATGTAGAACCATTGGTAGATAAGGAAAAAGGTGATATTGTGCAGTTTTTTTTTAGCCAACTCAAAAGGCAAATCATTGAGTGTCTATCATAGTGAGGAATTTCAAATACCTCACAGGGAACAATGAGCTTTTGTTGTTCTTGAGTTTTGGTCTTGTTGTCGTACAGCCTATAACTGGATATGGAGTGGCCAAAGTTGTGGATTCTGGGCATCCAAACTTCAAAAAAGGTGACTTGGCTTGGGGGAAAACTGGATGGGAAGAGTACAGTCTCATTCCAACTCCAGAGGTTTTTTTCAAAATTGGACATACAGATGTGCCACTTTCCTACTATACAGGAATTCTAGGTAAGTTAAATCTTATTGCAAAACATGCCACTTCTATTCCAGAGATGTTTCTCATGTTTGTTCCTTCTTCAAAAATTTTTGTCTGTAAGCCTGGCTAAGTTCCTGACAGCTGAGCTCAGTTCAGCAGCATTGGGGCTGTGCTCAAGCTTGCCTGGAGCTTGCTGTTTATAATTTCTCGAATGACTCTTTTGTCCAAACCTGGAATATGATACTGGTAATTAAAGGTAAAAAAATGACAAAGAAAAAAAGTGCAAAACTTGAGTAACTGAAGCCCACCCTACTAAACATGTGAGAGCATGGAGTGAAGCATTATGCCTTTCTATGTTATTAATACTTCAAAGAAACCAGGAAAAAAAAACAATCTTGAAGAGGAGAAACATAATATGCCTTGTACAGCAAAAAGAAGCTTCCTTTATTAGCTTATTTTGGCCCATTTAGAATTCTGGAAGGTTGACTTCCATATCTAATGGGAATGCTTATAGCTGCTTATCAAAAACATGAATTATGTGTGAGAGTTAGACGCAAGAAAAATGCAAGAGATCTGAAGGTTGTCTTGCAATATAAATTGCTGACTTTAGACCTGGTGTCTTGTCTGCTTCCAGGATGAAGTCAGTCCATTCAGCAAAGTCTCTCATTTTACCACCGGGTCCTATGACATTCTATTTCGCTTAGATGGCTTGTGAAAATTACAGATTTTGCAATAATGTAGATTGTGAAATGACTTGATTATAATTGATATCATCAAGGATAAACCTCTTATGAGTAATTTGCATTAATTTTTTGCGTCATTCTTTCTTCTGTGAGATGTTCGATGCTGCTTAATTTTTGTTTTTTCCTATTTATTCAGTCTAGGCAGGATTGGACTCTAATATGATTATATTGAATTGTACCTCATAGGAATGCCTGGAATGACTGCTTATGTTGGCTTTTATGAGATTTGCTCTCCTAAGAAAGGAGAGTATGTCTTCATTTCAGCAGCATCTGGAGCAGTTGGCCAGCTTGTTGGGCAGTTCGCCAAATTGATGGGCTGCTATGTTGTTGGAAGTGCTGGAACCAAAGAAAAGGTATGACCCACTGGAAGTGTTCACTGTGTCAATTTATTGGTGAATACTTGTTAGTGTCTGCTGTAAGTGGGAGCTTCTAGTTTGAGCTGTCATTAACGGTGTGCATCATTGAAATAAGTGGGTATTAAGAATATTAAATGCTGCTTTCATTGTGGTGCCTTCCTTTTGGTGCTCCTCAATAATTTGTTTGCTTCTGAAGTATACCAGTCAACACATAATTGCACTATCGATTGTTTGATTGTTGAATTTTTTTTTTTAATGGAGCAATAGGCTGGACCAGAATGGCAATTCCATTAACCAGCTTCTCTTGATGTGCTTGCCCTTCCTTCTTGTTACAGGTTGATCTGTTGAAGAACAAATTTGGGTTTGATGCGGCTTTTAACTATAAAGAGGACCAAGATTTAGACGAAGCTTTGAAAAGGTTAGTGTTTGTAGATGCTCTCAAAGGTCAATGTAATGCAACCAGAAACTTCCTACCAAATTATGTGAATCAGAATGATGTAGTCCACTAGCTTCATTGCGATTCAAAATGCCTACAATATTTTCCTCCATATAGGAATTCTTCCAAATAAACTACTATGGTAACATGAAGCCTTAGAATCTATAATGTTCACCATGGAGAACAGAAATGCTTGTTGGATAAATTTGGATGTCCTGGACTCTCTGTGAAGTAAAGCATGGCGGAAGTCAATACGACTCCACTGTACCTTTTATCTAGAGTAGGGTGGTCAGATTAATTGCATGGCTTCTGAGTTTGTAGACGAGCTTTGGTGCATCGTTAAGGTTCCCCCATTGTGACCATGCGGGGATAAGGCTGCATGTATCACCCCTCCAAAACGCTGTAGTGGCGGGAGTCTCGTGTACTAGGCTGCTTTTTTACATGTATTTTTGCAATACTTTTATGTAGATGCATACGGTTTAAATGCTACTTTCCATCTCGATTTTTCTGGGATAAGTATCTATCAAAATTATCCATCTATGTGTTCTTTTGTTTCCCAGGTACTTTCCCAATGGCATCGATATCTACTTTGAGAATGTTGGAGGAAAGATGCTTGACGCAGTACTCTTGAACATGAGAATCCATGGTCGCATTGCTGCATGTGGGATGATCTCACAGTACAACCTTGAACGGCCTGAAGGAATTCACAACTTGTTCTGTCTTATTCTAAAACGGATCCGTTTGGAAGGATTCATAGTTAATGATTATTATCACCTTTATCCCAAGTTCCTGGACATGATTCTACCTTACATAAAAGAGGGGAAGATTGAATATGTGGAAGATATAGCTGAAGGCATTGAACGTTCCCCGGCAGCTTTGGTTGGGCTCTTCTCCGGCCGCAATGTTGGGAAACAGGTCGTGGTTGTTGCTCATGAATGATGCACTTCACTTCACTACAAGTTCCTTGGCGTTGTCGTTTGAAATAGTACACTCCATGGCATGTGCTTTTTCATGATTGTACTACTGCGTTTGGTAAACAATAATATTTTTGTATCATAGTATACTAGGATGAACTTAGAAATTGAATGGAATATGCATTTCCATCTAATGTATAACAACAATTAGTATCATGTATTGGAATAGAATTGAAAATCTATTCAATTCAAATATTTGGATGCTTTTGATGACATTCGAATAATACAGCCATTTTTTATGCCCCAATGTCGAAATCTCAAACTAGGACTCACCCCAGATCCGAACCATGGTCTAGAACCGAGACCTGGCAGTGAACTCAGACTTGGCCTTGACCTAGATTCGAACCCTAAACCAGGCCCGAATACTGAATTCGGGTGATGGTGATGGTGATGGTGATGGTAGTTGGTAATAGAAAGTATAACATCATATTAAGGAATGACAAATCTTAAATTGTTGGAATTAGGCATTCTATAATAATTTGAATGAATTTTGACTGCATACCCGATCAAACATTGAAATGAACATTACTTAGCTGGGGTCATTCTATTCCCATGTGAATGTCTGTTCTTTTTAGGGGTGTTAGTCAAGATGAGCTACTCAGATTTAGTTTAAGTTCAATTCGGATAAGTCTCGGCTCGAGCTTGACTCATGTTTTAAACGAGTTGATAATGGACAATTTTTTAGGCACATGTAAAAAAACGAGCCTAGAAAAAATTCGCAAAACAGTTTGTATATAAAATAATCAAGTTATTCAGGTTCGATTCAGGTTTGGCCTGCGTTCAGACTTAGTTCGAGTTCCAAAAGAAGTCAGCTTGACTAATTTTTTAGATTCGTTTAAAAGAAAATAAGTTCAACACATTCAAGATCAAGCTCGTAAAATTCGACTCGATTAACACCTTTGATTAACACCATTAGTTCTCTCCGGTTGAACGGTTTTGATTCCAATAGGCAATTTTTTCAAAAATAGTTAATTACAAAATGCCCCCTCTAAGTATGGATCATGTCGCAGTCAGCTCCTTGTGGTTCCAATTTATCCCCCTCAAGTTTGTAATTGCATCAATTAACCCACTTGCCGTTAATTCTTACTGTAAAAAATGGACAGAAGTTGGCCACGTGAGCTTAAATTCCATTAAAAGACAAATTTACCCTTTTGATCCCTTATTTTCTAACCAAAAACAAATGAAAAATATCTCAACACCCCTTTTAGGCAAACAACCCTTCGATAACCCATCACCGTCCTTGACCTTCGCCCCCTTCCACCTTCTCCATTGAGCCTAACTAGTAACCACCGTCGCCCAATAGTTCACAACTTTTTTCGGGATTTTGATCGAAGCTTCATTGGTGGTAGTTGTGCTACATTGGCAGCGGTGATGAGGGTTAGAAATGTTTGGAGCATTCACAATGGCCTATTCTCTTTTTCTTTTTTCCCACAATCTTTTTTTCTTTGTTTGGTTGGTGTCTGGGGACGGTCTTTTGGATCCAATGGCAGTGATGTTGATAAGGAATTAGTGGGTAGCATTGGTGTTTGCTGCCAGTGAACGTTGGGGATGGTGTTGCTAGTTTGAAAGAGACCTTGTTGGGTATTAATATAGGGTTTTTTAGGCGTAGATACAATTTTCAATACTTATTTAAGTAAAAGTGTACGGAGAAGTGGTTTATTCTATTAAATATAATTTTTATAAATTTTTTATGTTTAGGTACAAAATTCAAATAAATTAAAATCTTTTTTACTTAAACATCCTTTCTTATTTTATGCAGTCATGATTGACAGTTATTTTAAGAAATAAATATGTAAAGAATACATATTTGTTATCTTTTTTAATTTTTGAATTTGAATGAGCAGTTTTGTGAGAGATTTATGAATCTATTGACAGTTATTTTAAGAAACAAATATGTAAAGATTACACATTTGTTATCTTTATTTTTTTGAATCAAATGTATGTATTCAACTGATAAGTCTTCTTCAACGTGTTTAACTGATAAGTCTTCTTCAACGGCGATTTATTTCTCGGTGGTGGTTTTCTTTAGAAAAAGAATTGCAAATACCAATCATCATCATCGGATTAAAGGTGAATTGTTCATAATTATATTTCTTTCTTTTTTGGTCATTTTTTTTGAGAATTTTCTATGTTTGATTTTCGTTTTATGTTCGTTTCTTCTTGAAATAGGGGGAAAAATTGTTTTGATCTTAAATGGGTGTAACTGTTTCTTATTGGTGTGACTATTTTTAATATAGACAAAATAATTATATTTCTTCTAGAATTCGATCATTTTTTTTTTGGGAAATTCATATGTTCGATTTTGTGTATGTTTGGTCCTTGTTGGAATGAAGGGGATAAAAAAAACTGTTTTTGAGTTTATTATTTTTTGTTTTATGTTGTTTTTTTTTTGGTCAAGTTGTTCGTTATTGAGATGAAGGAGAAAAAAAACTGCATTGATTTTTAATGGGTGTAACTATGTTTCGTATATACAGTAATTTTTGTGTAACTATGTTGAAAAAAAAAAAAGACTGCTTTAGTTTTTAATAGGTGTAACTGTTTTTTAATTGGTGTAATTATTTTTTGTATAGGCAGTAACTGTTGTATAACTGTGCTGAAAAAAAAAACTGTTTTGGTTTTTAATTGGTGTAACTGTTTTTTAATGGATGTAACTGTTTTTTGTATAAATAATAACTGTTGTATAATGTGTTGAAAAAATTAGAGTTGTATTTTAGTATAACTGTTCTTGAATGCAAGTTTTCAACCCATGTCTATTTTTGGTAGATACTGTATATTGTAATTATTTTGTGTTTATGTTTTCTCTCGGTGTGTGATTAATTAATTCAGTCATTTGTATTAACGTTTTTTTATGCTCTTATGTGTAACTGTTTTTTTTTCCTTTTGAATTGCTACAATGTCATTCATTTTTTTAATTAATGTTTTAATCAAGAATGAAGGGATGTCTTCATCGGATGGGATGTCCCGTTGCACTTCAACTTGCTACATGAAATCATCATGAAAGTCCCAATTAACTCATACTGTAAATAAAGTTACACCATAAAGTTATAACATAGTAGATAGTACAAGAGTTATCACAAACTACAGTTTTGAATATAAACTGTCTATATTTGAATTCAAAATAGTTACTTAAAACAATTACGTAACTAGTTTTAATCAAAAAAATCATGAACCATAAAGTTCCTAATAGTAGACTTATAAGAACTGAATCCTTAAAATCGGAAAAATAGTTACGCAACACAGTTAAACCCATTAAATTTTGAATATGAACTGTATATATTTTGAATCCCAAATAGTTACTTTAAACAGTTACGTAACTATTTTTAATCAAAAAAATCATGACCCATAAAATTGTCAATAATAGACTTATAAGAATTGAATCCTTAAAATCAGAAGAATAGTTACGTAACACAGGTAAACCTTAAATTTGGAATATAAACAATCTATATTTGAATCTCAAATAGTTACTTAAAACAGTTACGTAACTATTTTTAATTAAAAAAATCATGTTCCAAATTATTATTTTTTAATATACATATGCTATAATAGATTTGCAAATTCTTAATATATTTTTACAAAATTAAGGTTTTACGATTTGGTTTTATTTTTGAATCAACTTACACAGGTTTATGAAAAAAAAACTAAATAATCAATGACTGGAAAAAAAAAAAAAAACAGATATGGGATTTCTATATGGTTTTATTTTGAATCCCTCTTTCGAAGAAGATGAGTTTTGATAATTAAACCCCCTATTTTACCTCCCAATTGATTTTAGCCAAAAAAAAAAAAATGGATATGACATTCCCATGGCTATAGAATCCCTTCTGCCGAAGAAGAAGGGATTAGATAATTAATGGTCATATTTTTTAGCTCCTATTTTTTAACTCCCATTACTTGATTGTAGCCAAATTTTTTTGTAGAAATTCAAATAATTTCAACCCATTGCACTTAACCGAATGACAATAGTGTCATTTTTTAAAAATATGCACTTTACCCTAAATAAGTTTTTGTGTTATACTTTTACTTAAATAAGTCTAAAAAATTGTACCGACTTCTAAATCACCCTATTAATGTATTCTTTAGGGCTTTGTTTTTAATGTGTTTGAGTAGGAAGAGAAAAAAGAGAATATATTAAAGGTTGATGTTATTTTAGGAATTTTATATCTTCCATCCATTTTTGTGAGTCAATTTAAATCCTGCGAAAACTTTAGGGGGCAAATTGTTTAAATTGAAACCACAAAGAGTTGATTGCAACATAGCCTATATTTGGAGGGGACATTTTGTAATTAACCCTTTTAAAAAATTGCATCATTATCTTAATCCAAGTTTCAACTTCTGGATCCTTTTTTGTCCATATTCGGTATAGTTTTCCATATTAAAGAAAAATTTTGGGACCCCCAATTTTAACTTATATTGTAATTTTAAATACAATTTATGAACCAATAAAAAAAATTAACACGACATTAATGAGTTTGTCTTAGTAGATTTGGACGATAAATTGATGAAATTATTTGACCCCTTAAATTAGAAAGTGGGTATAACCCCCAACGAAATGCAACACAAACTCATTAAATTATACATGATTATAAGTATAACAGACATATATTGAGTAAATTCTGACACGACACGATACGATACGATCGAATGATTATTATTATATTACCTTTATTTTTTTAACCTTACTTATGTTTTTGTAAATACAAAAAAAAAAGAGAGTTATCTCGTTGCACAATATTTTTAATTTATTACAATCAAAATCAATTGACTGATTAATTATTTATCACCTAATTTTCATAAATTATATTTTTTCTTAAATTAAATCCGAGATCTTTTTTTTTATTTGGGATATGATTTTTGCTCAATTATTTTTTTAATACACAAGAAAAAACTCACAAAATGACATAAAAAACATAGACTTTGAGTAGTTTTTAATTCAAAATCCTTACTGACATTGAATTTTTTTTCTTTTATATTTTTAATTGATAATAGATTTAATTATATTTAGTCTCCAAATTCAACTTCAATTAATAAATTTTTTATAACTAAAGTTTGAATTCAAAACTAGTAGATTTACATCTCAAATACAAGAAAATATTTTTTTAAATGAATATATATTAATATATTACTATTTATTTTAATATATTTTTATATTATATTCCATTACATTGGGCCCCTCTAAAATATTTGGCCG